TCCAATTAATACAACCTTGTACAAAGGGCAGGGCTTCTTTGAATTACTGTGTGGACAAGATTAACAAAGGGATTGCCAAATTGGCATATTGTGCTACTTAATAAATTAAAATCATTAAATACTTTATGCTACAATTAGCTGTCAGTAATATTATATTGTATATTATTGTATTTCAAATGAAATCATAAATTTGATGGGTGGTCAACTCTAAATCGAGACACAGTCATCAGAGTGAATTAATTTTTCACTGTATGTGTTGGCCTTGTGTTTGGTAGCAAATACATGCAATTTCATATCATTTCCTCACTCCAGTACAACTTAAGCATCAATACATTTTTTAGGTTGACCCCCTGTCAGAACCAATGACAAAATGTGAAAAATGCCATAGTGAAACCCAAGAATTCATTATATTATTGTGCACCCATCAATGTTAAGCCCCAGAGGAGGGGGGTCGGGCATACTGTAGGTGGGGCATTTTATTTTTAGAGCAATTTTCAATCAAATGCCCCACCGTCGGGCAATAAATATTGGTCAAATGCCGCACCATTTTGCAATAAATTGCAATAAATACTATGTTAATAAAAGTCATTCAGTTCAAATTGCCCCAACTCGGAGCCAAAATGCTAATCAAAATCCTCAGGGTGGGGATGTAATTGATGATCAAATACCCCACATATGCCCAACCCCCTCCCCCCTCTGTGGGTTAACATTGATAGGTGCATTAGGTGTATGCAGACTGGAATACAAGTTAATATCACTGCCTGTGAAATTGTGGTTTATTTAGAGAATAAAGGTTTTTTGAACTCTTCTATAAATAAATTATAACAGCAAAAGATTCATATGCACCCATATAGGGAAGGCTTACATGCTACAAGTTAAAATGAGTATTACATACTCCTGCACTTGAAAAGTTTACAGCACAGTATATACATTAAATAATAAAATATATAACAGTAAATCCCAAGATTGGATTTATTGAAAGTTTTGAAACTAGTCATTAACTAGTTCTTCGCAATTAAATAACACAAAGACAAATAAATAAAAGTTATTAACCATTTCTGACACAAATATTATTTGCAAAATATAGTACATATTTGATATTATAGTCAAATAGTACAGTGTACTGACAGTAATCAGTACTCTATACTATGTATAGATTGAAACACAGAAAACCTGTACAACACAAATATGAGTAAAGTTTTGACGCTCCATTTAACTGTTGTGATATTATACGCATTAAGTATACGTTTCTTTGCATTTCCTTTGTAGTATTAGTATATAGCACAGCTCTGAAAAACCAAAACAATATTCGTACACTCCTAAACGGCCGCCATGTTGTATATAAAAAATATACGGTTAAAAATTAATTTTTGCCAAATTGCAACATTCCATTGTATACCAGCAACCAATCATATTCATTTCTGAGATGGATTATCCCAGAGCCTTCGTTTCCTTCCCAAGGATCGCAGGCTCGGGGAACGAGATTGGATGCAACTCCACGGATGTTTATGACTCTACAACGTATATTTATAGACAGTTGTTTATTAATTAAAAAGTCAAAAAGTCGAACCTTTAACTTGTCCTTTGTAAAATTCACTGGGTCCAAATTTTGGGGTTTTCGAGTCGTTACACGAAGAAAAACATATTAATTCAACACGCAAGAAAGTTCAGAGTGCGACACAACGTAAAATCCATAGGAAACCGGAACAACACTTTGAAAATTCAACGAAACTGTGTGAAATATATTCTGATCACTCAGCCAAAAGGCACCATTTTGAAACTGGACTGAATATGTCACCATTGGAGTTCGGAATTGTGCGCGTGCGTATAAGTCCATATAAGTCTATATATGGGCTAATAAACGAAAAATGCACCACAAGCATGGCATGAGCCGGCTATTACGTACATAAATGCAAGCTTCTTACTACTAGAAGTTACTATCGAAAGGAAAATGCTGCCTCACCCCCGAGGGATCAAAGGCAAGGGAGCATACGCAATTTGCTAAATAAGGGCTGTTTATACGGATCCCGCTTAAACCACTTTGTCAGGACGAGATATAAGGCGCGATGGTTTTGTGAAAAACTTTATTTTCTAGAGATGGATTATAGTTAACTGTAATCGAAAGGTTGTTCAAAAGACAAAAAGCTATAAAAATCTTGAACTACATGATCTTCTCTACAACATTTGAGTTCGGTTATAACCAGCATTTGAACTTTCGTTTAGCCTAGTGACTTATTCCAATACAACAATATCATCCCAACTTCCATCATGTAAACAGCCCAGAGTATGCCCGTTCACAGGTTAGGTACTGGGCATGACCTAACTTGCGAACGGGCAAACTCTGGGTACGAGATTGCTAATACGCCTGTTCAGGATGCAGGAAAAGACTGCAAAATGCAATTTGAATATCAAACACCTTGCACAAAGTCGAAGGTCAGCTAAATATTCTAATTCTACTTTCTTGGCATGGGTTTTTTTTATGAATGCCTTGAATGCTTATAACTTCTTGCTTTTGTATGTATAATTATAATTATAATGTTAATGGTGAAGCTAGCCATTATTAAACTAAACTCTACGTGTCCAATGATTCATTCAAGTATTATCAATGTTGATATATATGGCAATATGACATTGTCAGTATTCAGTGGCAAGCTAGCCATAGCAACTGGTCATGCTATGCTACTGAAACCTGCAAATCATTAAAAACTTGCATAACATGACTTGTTGCTACAATTTCATATACCTTACTTGTATTAAAATTTGCGCAGTACTAGCATTCGCGCAGCGCTGGGTTGCGCGAATTTTAGTAATCTGCGAAATATAATCCGCGCGAAAAGCTTTGTGATGTAATATGAAACACCGGTTGTTAGTAACGCAAATCAGTTGATTTAATTAACGCACATCTACACATTTAACACAGGTTCCACGTAGCATTCCGTTATGAATGCCTGCATTTTGCCACAGATCCTCAAACATTGTTGTCAAAGGTGGCAACGATCATGCGTGAGCGCCGCATTGAAAAAGCCACAACGAAAAGAGGATCCATTTGAACTCTAGCTAAATATATTTGTGTGTTTTGAGATATATTTGTGCGTTTGAAACATATTTGTGTGTCGCACTTGTGGATCACCGTAGTTTTATACCATTTATGAACCTATAATTAATATATGGGAATGCTAATAAAAGATTAGTGCTATTGTATTAGGCAAATGGGAACCATACAATAAATGTTTTAGTTTTATTACATAATTCTGAAACCATTCTTGAGGCCACCTAATCGCTTTTTGATTAAGTTTTGATAAAATATACTCGTTATAAATACGTTAATTGATAGTTCTATTGAGCAAACCAAAAAGAACGAACAAGGGAAATTTCTTGCTCAAATTTAAAGCTGCGCGAATATGAACAAGGTGCGCGAAATTAAATCGCGCATGAATACGACGCGATTATTGTTTTAATGTACCTTTCATACCTTCAAGGCTACCCCTATTGCAGAACAACCGAACAATCTGCTAATGAGAAGACAAAATCTATGTTGAAATTTTTGTCAGCTTCAGATGACCATTCATTTGTAATGATTAAGATTGTAGAAAGAAATTCTGAGCAAGTGAATACATGAATGTAAGCCGGTATATTACATATGATGCTAACCAATGGACATATCTCAGATACTAAATGTACAATAAAATAACATTTTGGCTCCTTGTATAAATATAAAGACGATCAGTGGGCTATAAGAACTGCAAATTCATAAAATCATATTGGTTTCAATACCTCTATATCGAACACTAAACAGCAAATCCAAATAAATGCCTTCATGTACAGTATCACCAGAAAGAAATAAAGCTATCCGCCATGAATTATTCAAGATATTGTCGATCCTTTGCATCGTATTAAACTGTATTAAATCCTGAGAAGAATCATGCGAGCTGATACAAAATAAAATCGAATCAAAATCAAATAAAAACAAAGAGTCGTCGAATGCTCAAGCTGACGACAATTTCCGAAAAATCTTGGCATCCAACGGACTGACATGGATTGAGTATGTTTCCCCAATATAACTCGGCCGGGGACTGGGCACGAAAAAGCAAGAACGTCATGTAACGTCAAGAATAGGGAGCTGTCTCGCTACGCTCGGCAGCAATTATATATGAATCGTGGAGTCGAAGAATCGATGGCATTTTGGATTAATCGTTCCACCCTGAGCCTGCGATGCGCGAACGCAAACTCGATTTCTCGACGACGAAAAAAACAGAAGAAAACAGAATTAAAAAGAATAAAACAGAAAACTAGGGATTTAAGACACTTGACCTTTCAGGTCAGTGTAATAATCATATTATAATAATTTATTTTATTTAGCTTTTGATATCATATAAAGCAAAATAAAAGGGCCGAAATTCGAAAATACAAAAGAACAACATTTCGCGTATCGACATTTTTCACTGTGATTTGTACTATGTATTCATCGACACTAAAGTCTTTGGAACGGAAATTTACTTTCTAAGTGAGCACATACTTGTTTGTACGCGGTAGATGGAAATTCCGAAAAGACCATTTGACTCGACTGCATGAAATTCCGTATATAAACAGCCCTAGTTTGCCTTTTTCATTCAAAAACCGAACGAATATATTCGCTCTTCAATACTCTAAAACACGATATTCCGAAATTTATGGTCGTATGGTGAGCACGTTAATTGGAAATTTTGAAAGCACCATCCTAGTCTACAGTACTTTGAAATATTTAAGACCCCCTAGTTTCCCATTTACCCTCATACACAAACCGGGCGAAGATTTAGCCCTTCAATATCCCATAAAAGCAAGTCTTATACGGTTATACGGGAACTTTCAGAAAACACTTATTAGTAATATCCTACTACAGTAATATGTGCGTGCGGTAGATTGGAAATAGGAGAACACCATTGAATTCGCCATAAAATCATCACCTTTTCATAGTAAAAATCTCTAGACAATTTAATAAAAAAATTTTATCGCGTATTTATCTCCCAAGTGACAATAGAATTTTATTTGGGTTGAACAGCTTTTTACCTTGTCAAATATCAAATTGTCGATTTTTGGCTAAAATATGGTCAATTTGCCAAGGTTTTGACCCTCGTTGAGGTCAAACTGGAGCGCATAATTCATTGCCTAAATCGCAGGAAATGGCATTTGCGGGTTCTAATTTTCAACATTTTTACGGGGGGCATGGTCAAAACAAATGTATGTATGTAAACAATGTTGGCTCATGAGCAAAACAAACTTGACTGTCGCCTTAAAGTTTAGTGTCACCATAGTCCATAATTTTTAAAGTATTATTACTAGATTTGTCCTCATTTTTTGAACATTTCCAAAGATACACTGGATGAACCATGACCAGGATTTGAACTACCAACAGACCAACATTTACCTATTTATAAACAGTAAATAACTGTAATAGTTTTGTTGGTGGAAATACCACGTAAATTTATTAATAAATAATATAATAAATAATAAATTTACGTGGTGTTTCCACAAACAAAACTATTATATGTTTTATCGCCATGCAAACGTACAAAGAACTAAATAAATAACTGATGTGTATTAATGATATTTTAACTATGAGTCAGGATGAAAAATAATGGAATTACGACAGGAGATTCAAGCAGCAGCAGCAGCAGCAAGATTAAGAACAGTTTCTCATAATGTGAGTCTTTCCTGGTTTGTGTGCTGCAGCACATGTCCGGGTTTTGGTTGTGATATTTCGACTCTATTGGGTGGGCTTGGGTATATTTCATTCTGTCTCATTACCCCTGACGATTTTACTTCTCAATGGGCGATGGAATAAAGATTTAACAGGAAAGGCCACATGAGCTTCTGTTTTCTACAACGGGCAAGTTAGCATATGAAATGCCAATATTATACTATGCTTCCAGGTACTGAAATATTAATACCAAAATCCATACCCAAGTTGGATCGCCGTTGTAAGGCCCGTCCAATAAAGCAAACATTGGAATTTGGAAAAGAGAAACCACTGCAGAAACTAGAAGACTCAACCCATTCAGTGCACCAGCATGATATAGTGGAAACCTGAAAAAGAATTAGTCACCTTAATGAATTGAAATAAATCCGAAACTTTCCTGTTTTTCCAAAGATACGATGTGCACGCAAATGTTTTATGTTCGTGGCTATATATAGGCCACTTCAGTTGGTTCTGAAGCTATATAGCAAAATAAGAGTCCACACTAATTGCGATTCAAAATTTATAACATGTATGGTTACCTCGTTTTATGCATGTCATCTTTTACCAACATTGTTTATAATGGTCTATTTTTAGGACACATATATTACAATTTAAAGCGGTTGTGGTATTCCTGCCAACTTTTCCCATTTTTTCCCCAGTTTTTTGGTATCTGCATTAACTACATATTAACTGACTGTGTATTCTTTGCGGATTAAGCTATTAAAAGATTAAAAAATCCATAGAAACGAAATAAGAAAACAAGTTATACTTACTCCTTCATGATAAAAGATCCGTGAGAAGAATACAGAAATGATCTTAGAAAGGCATAAAGCAGGAAACTGAAAATCTAAAAATAAATAATTTCTCCGCAATTGTGATTACGGTAAACTTAGTGAAACACGTGGTCTCAAACTCCGGAAATTTCAAAAATAGATGTTATTTCCACAGCTGGTCTTGTAATGGTGCACGAGGAACAGCAATGGGGGACAAAGAGGGGGTGGACGTGTCTCTCAAGTTGCTTAAATATAGAGTCACTCTTTTCCAGATATACAGAATGATGGAAAATTCGCGTCTTTCATGCAAATGTAATGAAACTAACACTTCAAACGTTATGAACCAGACCCATATATTTATACAAACTTTACAAGCACTAATTTTGAGCCACCCATAACATCTCCCACGATATCTAGTGGGAGATCAACAGTTTAGACATTTGCTATTACTTGGATTCAGATCAAGAGCTACATATATATTTTATAGTGATTCTAAATGGCTACGCGATCATTCATAACCTCATCATATTCATAAACAATTCCCAATACTTGTTTGATGAGAAAGATCCATGGTGGGATCGTTGAAGGAAGCTATCCTATATTTGCAGCCGGTGGCACATGATATTTTCCACACGTGCGTGGCTCCTGGGGTATGTTTTCAAGGTGGCAACTTAATACTTGTTAGAATTAAACTTTACCTGCAATTTGAGAACTGGAATTAGAAGACCGACAGTCACAAGGATTGAAATTAATCCCGTGAGAACAAAAGATATAATGATTGAAAAGTTGCGATGTCTATCAGCAGGAGACCAATCAAGAAGAAACCCAGGAACAAAGGCCAGAACAATGCCAGTAAATTGAATCAATCCAAGTATGGTAAGATAGAAATCCACTAAAAATGAAAGATGACTTACACAGTAATAGAAACATCAACGAATTCTAGTTAAAAATATTATTGCCCAGCAAACAATTCGTAAAAGGGACATATTCAAAAAAACATTTGGTATATAAAAATATTTATTGAGTAACGTTTCGTCACATTACAAGCGACATCATCAAACTAAATACAGTTAATCTATTTATAACGTACAAATTTAGAACAACAAGATATACAATTTCAAACGGTTAAAAAGTTAAATTAGAAAGATGTAATTATAATGTTCATGCATGATATATTCACGTGCATGTGTAAACAAGATACCGAGATTACTGAAAGATATATATTAAAAAGGATTAGTATTTTTGCACAAGCGAACAAAACAAATCCTACAACCTGATTGGTCAAATTTGACGTATTAAGCTGTTATATTTACCTACAGGTGAATATAACAAAACTGAAATTTTCAAAATGGCGGCTAGCCTTTTTGTGGAAGTTTACTGATAAAGAAATAAGCGAAATTAAAATAAATTCAGTACCAAATAACATAAAAGACTTGTGTAAAAATACTAAAACAATTATTCGCCTCAGTGATTATCGGGGAATATTCACCTCGACTTCGTCTCGGCGAATATTCCTCGATAATCACCTCGCCTTCGGCGAATAATTGTTAAATATCAAGTGGTTATAGCGTCAGTATTAAAAGATGTTAGTAAATTAACAAGAAGAAACACCTTCCGGTTACTTGAACGATTCTCTAGCGTTCTAGCGCCGATTGTTCATGACATCATTACGGCTAGCATTAAACAATGTAAGTATCCAAGTCATTACAAACATGGCCTGGTCACACCTGTGCCCAAAGCATACCCACCAGATCTCTGTTTTGCCACATATTGGGAAAATCCTAGAGAGAGTACAATTACAACTCAATCAAAATGACATCATACTACGTCCCAGTCAATATGGTTTTACTAGTGGCCGCTCTACTACATCGGCTCTGATATCCATCACACAGCCATGGTTTAATGCTGCTGACAATACCTGCCGTGACAAAGCAGGCATCCATGCCCTCTTTATCGACTTTGAAAAAGCCTTTGATCTGGTTGATCATGGGATCCTGTTGAATAAACTTGCATTGATGAATGTTAATAAAAGCTTCTGGTTGTGGGACAAAAGCTTCTTATCTGGTAGAACTCTGCAGGTCAAGATAAATCGAACACTTTCATTGATCGAGGGTTGCCCAACTGGAGTACCGCAAGGATCTGCTCTTTCGCCGACTTTATTTAATATCCACATTGACGACTTAGATACGAGTGTTCCTGAAGATCTTGAGGTGAGCACATATAAATATGCCGATGACTGCACACAAAGCGAATGCATCATGAAGGGAGAGTGTAGCAACATGCAGAAAGTCTTAGACTCCGTTCAGAACTGGTCGAACGCTAATAGAATGAAGTTGAACGCAAAGAAAACGAAAGATATGTGGATTTGCTTTGGAAATCTATCCCACAGCCTCCCAATCTTTATATCGGGGATGTTATGATCGAAAGAGTTCATTCATTCATGTTACTTGGTGTTAGCTTTAAAGTAACATGAAATGGAATTCTCACATCAAAGAAATTACTCGTAAGGGAAACAGGAGACTGTGTCATCTAAGGCAGTGCAGGAAGGCTCACCTTCCTACTGAAGTAGGATTGGCAACTTACTGCACCAAAATTCGTCCACTGCTTGAATATGCCGCACCTGTTTGGGGTGGCCTACCTCACTATTTAGTGAACGACCTTGAGCGTATTCAAAGGAGAAGCTTATGTATTATTGATTTACCGGTCGATACACTTCCCCCGCCTAGTGAGAGAAGAGATAAGCTAACTCTTCGAGAAATGGAGGCAATTACTCAGGACGTAAACCATCCCTGTCACCACTCCTTGTCCCTATCGCACAGAAGCATGACTATTCCACTAGAACTAAAGAAAGAGGTTCTAATGTAGGTCGCATTATTTCCAGAACCGAAATACATAAATCATCGTTTATGCCTCGTGCAGTTAAACTTTTTAATAATAAACTTTAAATTACTACTGTAATAGACGGTTCTGTAATTTTAGGCTGAATGTAGGTTGCATTATTCTCTGAACTGAAGGACATAATCGTCGTCTGTACCTTTGGCAACTGAACCTTTTTAAAAATACAAATTTTTATTGTAATATAGATGGTTTTATAATGTTTATGAATTTGTAAGTCCACTGTATTTTTTTACTTAAGGTGGATTATTATTAAAGCTTTACATCATTAAGCCCATGCGTGCATGTTTAGTTTGCCGGGGCAATTAGTAAGCTTTCTTTAATAAGAATATCTGGTTAGAATTAGCTGAAGTAACAAGTTTAAAATCACCTGGATTAGTTGGATGACCAGCTTCTCTAGAATGATCTGTTTTTGAAACACACGAAAGAGATTTACCATTCGAAGCACATGGGGCAGAAAAGTACGATTGTGTTTTATAAATACCTTGTCATCAACCAATATCGCATATTTACCAGGTGATCTGAAGGTGAGCAAAAGGACTGGGACTAGCAACAGAATAGAAATCCAGTTTCGTACCTTTAATCACTTGTCACGCCCTGATTCTTTTGTGAAACTGTTTGAAAGTCTGCACAGGGAAATGAATATCTGGGACAAATTTGAGATGGAAATCTAACACCGTTAATGCGATATTGAGTAATTTTAAACCAGAAATGGATTTCTATTTTACAACTAGTGCCAGGCCTTTTCCGAGTTCCGAGATCACCTGGTATATCACAACAATCCGCAGACAAAGTCATAAAAGGATCAAAATTAGCTGATTTTTATTTTTTCGATAATATCATGCCTTCTACTTCATGTAATTATTTTAAACGACAATTTCCGAACATCTTACGAAAGGATGCCGAGGGTGTAGCCCGTAAATAAATAGGAAAAGGATGAAACGCCGAAAATCTTTCGTTCGATCTGCATCGCAACTACTTGTAACGGAAGTTAAATCGACATTGTAACCGGAAGTTAAAGGAAAATTGACCTTTCATCTTCCATGACCTTTTAATCGAATTAACGGTTAATAATTTGAATGATAATAACAAATTTTAAAAAATATTGCGAAATTCAAACTCAAATATGGAACGCCGTTTTGTCACTAAAAGAAATGCGAATCACCCGTTTTAAAAGCAACACACGCTCTTGTATCTAGATGGTATAAAGCTTTTCAATAATTTTAAAACAATTGTTTTTGAATCGATCAACCGTGAATATATCCACAACTTTGCAGACTTAAGATATATCAATAGACTATTTAAATTCAAAAATAAACTATACATGTAATTCTGGGACGAAAATTGACAATTCAATATCTTGACAATTCAATTCAAGGACAATTCAATTCGTGACAATTCAATAAGTAACAATTTATATGAGCATATTGTTATTTTGAAACTGTATACTAATAATCATAAAAATACTGTATGAGCCTGTAATATATTATATATGAATCAGTTGGAAAAATAGTTTTCGTCATGCGCAATATCTTTGTAAGTGATAACTACGTCACTTCCGTCACCATGTGTTGCGGTGCACGTTGAAACAAAATAAGCCAAAATTGTATTCCCAAAAGTTTCGGTTTAATAGCCATTCCTTAAAATTTCCTTGTACAGGTATGCTAAGTGTATCATATCTAAACTGTACACAAAAAATAAGAGGTTTTAGTTCAGAAACACGCCAGTTATATCCATTCAAAATATTTCACGATCGGGGGTTTCATCCTTTTCTATTATTTGTACGTGTAAGCAGCGTCAATCGTTCTAGTATGAGCCCACGCTACTATGGTCAGTCCGTGTAATACAATATTTGAATTACATGAAATAGTAGGCATGACATTATCAAAAAAATTTTTAAAAAATTTAAAAAGTTTTAAAAATTTTCATCGTGATGAAACCTGGATGAAACTATGCGATATATTGGTTGATGACAAGGTATTTTAAATAAACACAATCGTACTTTTCTGCCCCCTGTGTTCAAAGCCGAAATTCCGCATTGCTCTCAGATTCGTGTGTGTAGGCCTAAATGTCGGCATGTTTTGACCAAAATATAAATATACCATGAATATACAATGAATATACCGTGAATATACCATGAACATTACATATCTTTCTAATTTAACTTTTTAACCGTTTGAAATTGTATATCTTGTTTTTTAAAATTTGTTATAAAACAGATGCATGAAATAGCTTACAGTCGATTTCACGAAACTTTGACCACATATGTTCCGAACTTCGTTGCGAAGTTCGCAAGTTCGTTGCGAAGTTCGGAAGCTCATATTGGAATTCACAAGCCAATTTGTAAACAAAGTCCCTGATTGGTCCGTGAAGTAAAAGAAGCCAATCAAATGCGTTTACGAACTGGTTTGTGAATCTCATTATGAACTTTTGAACTTCGCAACAATCTTGTGAACTTCGCAACGAAGTTCGGAAAATTTGTGGTCAAAGTTTCGTGAAATCGACTGTAACTGTATTTAGTCTGATGATGTCGCTTGTAGGCCTAATGTGACGAAACGTTACTCAAAATTAAATATTTTCATTTACCAAATGTTTTTTTTTTAAATTATATGCCCCTTTTACGAATTATTTGCTGCATGGCCAATAATACTTATACATGCAGTAACTATACTAGAAAATACATGCATCGATAAACTTTGAGTTTGCAATAAAATTATTTCAAATTCTCGCATACAAATAACTTTGCTTTCTTTTTTTATTTAAAAAATTCAATATAATAAAAAAGGAATCAATATTAAAGATGCAATGAAATTATATGCTGTCTTGTTTAATTGTTTCATATACGCAAAGGCCGTTGGGTTTTAAAGCAATTATAAAATCAATATTTAAAACAAACTTACCTTCGTTAACGTTGGCTCCCTTCTTTTAGCCGATTCTTTTGCCCTTTATTTCTTTCTGAGAAAGCTTTTGACATTTACAAAATCTTGCAAAAATCCGAGCAAAAATGAAATATATTTGCAAGAAATTTATCAATCATCAAATTAAGAAATGTTTGCTATTTTGCTGTCGTCATTTAGTCGTTATAATGCAAACTTAATTTAAATTGGACCAATCAGTGTCCGCTATTCATATGACAGTCCGCCATATTTTTGAGATCAGTGAGCATGACCACCCATCCAACACTCCAACACCGTTGCTGACCCACGCCCGCGTCAAAGATTAGATACTATAAAGATGTGCCACTCGACGTATTTCCTTAATGTTTGCGTGTCCGTAATTTTCACTTACTGCCAAAATGGCGGCGAGACTGATGGCGTTGGATTTTACTATATAGAGACCAGTGAACTCTAAGGGAACTGGAACGATAACTTGGCGGCCATCTTTGAAGCCAAATTGAAGGCCGCCATGTACGTATATGGAGTGGAAAATACGTCACCAAAAAGATGTCTGTTTTCGACCACTAAATAGCTGTATTTCAACAAGGAAAAAAGCTAAAAACTTTCAACAATACCTGAAATTTAATACAAAACATGTTTCCAGAACGTAGAGCAGTTATAAAGTTCTTTTTTTAGGAGTCAAAGTGCGAAGTTTTTTTCGGCACGTTCAAACTTGTGTAATATTTTGAATATCAAGCTGTTTACCCAGGAAGTTTTTGCTGTTAGTGGATGTAAAATACTTAGAACTATCCAGGAAACCAGGTTTGAATCTTTAAAGTTGAAGCCTTTTGATAAAAAAGTACTTTTTCTTGCTGATTTTCGCTCAAAAACAAACTTTTGACTGAATTTCCCGCTCCTCGAAACTATCCCCAGTCCTTTTGAAAGTTAATTTATTGCTGGCCGCGCTCGCGAGAAGTGCCATTTTGGCTTCAGGCAAGTGTGGGCATGTTTATCTGCAGTTAGCGTTCCAGTGTTATTACAGTTCACTGATAGAGACTGATGGCGTTGGATTTGACACTTACTGGCAAAATGGCGGCTATAAAAAAATCTCGGACATAATTTTCGCAGAGTGGCACATCTTTATAGTATCTAATCTTTGCCAGCGTTCATTGATGAACTTTAGACTTCGCTAATGCTTTCGTTTCCCCGGGTGTAAATAGCCGGGGGAATTAGTACCCGCGCACGGCGCTTCACGCCGTCGGCTCGGGGATTATAGGGACCTTTAGCAAATAAGTGACGGCAACGCGACGACGACGGCCAAAACAAACTCGTTCAAATAAGTAACTTTAAGAACAACATGTCTTGTATTATCCGTTGTATGAATTTATTGCAATTTAGAAGGTTAAGACAGAGGTTTATAGTTGAGAAGATTTCTAGCCTACTAAGCCAATTTGGCGAGGACGACTTCTCGCTGCTTGAAAGGCAGACGTTGTATACAAAACGTGAAAATCTTTGTTTTGCTGTTGTAAACAAGGACGACGTCTAGAACTCCCAAGGGACCTTTAATTATACATTTTCTTTCTACACTGTCATAAATTTCATTGTGCTAATAGCCGTCGCCGTCCGGCTAGCTAAAGGTCCCTTATAACGACTGCATGACGACAGCGAAATAGCAAACAAATATTTCTTGATTTGATGATTGATAAATTTCTTGCAAATATATTTCATTTTTGCTGGCATTTTTGCAAGATTTTGTAAATTTCAAGAAAGAAAGTGCGAAAGAATCTGCTCAAAGAAGGCAGCTGACGTTAACGAAGGTAAGTTTGTTTTAAATATTGATTTTATAATTGCTTTAAAACCCGACGGCATTTGCGTATATGAAACAACTAAACAAGACAGCATATAATTTCAGTGTATCTTTAATATTGATTCCCTTTTTTATTATATTGAATTTTTTAAATAAAAAAAAGCAAAGTTATTTGCATGCGAGAATTTGAAATCATTTTATTGCAAACTCAAAGTTTTATATCGATAAAACCATTTAAATAGCCGAATTCATATTAGGGACGGGAAACTCGTCTTAGACGGGAAACTCGTCTGCGAAAACCCGTCTGAGTATGAATTTAGGGACGGGTAAATTCGAATTTAAGACGAGTTTCCCGTCTAGACGAGATTCCCGTCTAACTTTCCCGTCTGTTTAGACGGGTAAGTTAGACGGGAAAGTTCAGACGGGAAACTCGTCTGCGCCCGGATTCATATTAGACGAGTTTCCCGTCTGAGACGAGTTTCCCGTCTAAGACGAGTTTCCCGTCTCTATAATATGAATTCGGCTATTAAAGGCAGTTTAGTTTTATAAAAAACACTTTAAAACGTTTTGTGAAGCGTTTGTGGTTGAATTTTACCTTAAATTGAAGATTATATTACGTATAATATCATACCTAACATATATGTTGGAAAATTGATAATTTTGTAATTAAAAGTGATATTTTTAGGCGATTTTTCATTTGTAAGAATATTCTTAAAAAATTATCGTGTTACCATGACAATTACTTTAGATACGTCATGTTCGGAAAATACAATGGTTTTGTCAGCAAGGCGAGGTTTCTGCATGCATGTATTTTCTAGTATAAAAATGATACGAAGATCACAGCATTTACGTGTTTCAAAAAGAGGAACAATGTCATAAACCGTCAAGTTCGAAGCAGGACAGGGAGGCGCGCTTCGAACCTACATGAATGTGTTGGAACCCCTCCAAAGGGATCCCCCATCTGAACAGCTAAAAATGCAACATAATTGCTAGACGTGATCTACCATTTTATACAAATATTTCATAATAAGGTATATACTGTATATAATACGGGTAATCAAAGTATTTGGTGGAATGGAATAGAATGCAGTACTCTCTCTCGTGAGCTCGTGAATATTGGTCAAACATATTCACGGACTATTTAAAACTCTCTCCCTCCCTCATGATGCAACATAATTGCTAGACGTGATCTACCATGCAACATAATTGCTAGACATTATCTTGTACATAATTGCTAGACGTGATCTACCATGCAACATAATTGCTAGACGTGATCTACCATTTTATACAAATATTTCATAATAAAGTATACTGTATATAATACGGGTAATCAAAGTATTTGGTGGAATGGAATAGAATGCAACTCTCTCTCTCGTGAGTATGGGTCAAACATATTCACGGACTATTTAAAACTCTCTCCCTCCCTCCTGTCAAGGACACATGTTTTTCATATAGTTATACCCTTGAAGAATTCCAAGCTCAAAGGAGAGGGGGGGCATGAAATCATATCACATCGTGAAATCAATCGTGAAATTAATCGTGTTTAATTTGGTGGGTTTCTTTGTTTGGAAAGGGGGTCAGCAGAGTTTGAAGAGTAATTGAGGGGAGAGGGTCATGGAAGTTTTAGTTCTGGCAATGTTTTGACCTCTTAAAATATGTTATTATACCGTAGAATATGAAAATTTTGAACTAATAAATGGCTGCAAGTTTACAGAATTTTTGCCCAATTACTAACGTCATAAAATAAAGACTTTTAATTGTTTAACTGATATTGTTATATAGCTAGCGTGAACACAAACGTGATTGGCTGATTTGTGGTCACGTGACTTCGATAAATGCAATGTTTCCCGCCGGGCAACAAGTGAAAAATTGTTGCCCGCCCCGACCGACCACGTACATAAATAAACAAAATGGAGGCACAACTCAGATAATTAGAAACTACGATTTTCCAAGTTTGTGTTCAAATAAAGAATATAAAAGAGAAGAAAAATACACAACAGGCAACAGGATATGCTGCTGAAACCGTTTAAGTAGGTTCTTTTAATTTTAAACTCGTTTACACTATAGAGTTTTTGTCACGAAATACAATTGTTGTATGAATGTTGTTGAAGTTGATTTTTGTTCGTCGCTATATAACAAAACACTTAATGCCTGTTCCCTCGGGAAATAGTTTTGTTTTCCCTCGAATCTTAATGTTGAGATTCTCGGGAAAACAAAACTATTTCCCTCGGGAGCAGACATTAAGTGTATATTGTACATACCATATTTATACACTTGTACTGAATTTTATATTTAACTAAAAGTTTTTTGGTCTTTTCTTTGGGGAGGGGGGGGGGGGTTCATGTCAGTTTTGCTGTTGCCAGAGGGGGTTATGTAGATATTGAGAGGGAGAACGTGTGAAATGCCGACCCGCACCTCCCCCAACCATAAATAATGAACACTCCCTTACCCTTGAATAAGTTCAAGCCCAAAACCCTTTACCCTTGACGAATTCCATGCTCAAAACCTTTACCCCTGAAGAATCCCAGGGATCCTCGACAAGGAGGGTACGGATATTAAATGCAATAGCCCATCAATTCGTACCAGAACATTGTTTAGTGTTTAGTGTTGGCTAAAAATAATCTATAGTGTCACAATTGTTGTTATGAACATTAATTGTCCGCCTCAGTTCTTGCATGTATATTTATTTTGATAAGTTGAAAGTTTATTCTAGTTCTCAAGTGGCCAAGACTCGCCGGATAATTAACAATTAGGCAACAAGGATGAGTTGTCTATGAGCGAATTACTATTCGCCATAGACAACGAGACCAAATTATTTTAGTATACTCGCCTACTCAACGTATAAACTGCATGCAAGCAACCATTGGAGGGTTTTAAACAAAATTGTAAAACATTTAAGAGCGTTTGTATGTATTCTTTCGCACTTCGATTCCTTCGCCTGCGGCCTTTTTGTTCAGGAGTCTGAGCGGTAGACATTACTTTTTTCACAGCCACTGGCGAATAAAATAAAAGAGTTATAAAGAAAAAATTATGGAGGTTCCGTTTCTATTTGCTTTAAATTCTTCGACTCTTAAAATACTAATCAACTGAGACTTTCGGGAAACAATATGTTTTGTGGACCCTTGAATGCCAATACCACAAACTGACCTTTAGCAAAATAGGTTTTCTACCTTTTCTTTCATTGTCTGTGAGACGTTTTAACAGCGTGTTGATCGTTCCAGTGAAAAGGAAAGACCTCAAAGTCGTAATCGAAACAAAACATGTGTGAATTATAAACTTTGGACCTCTGATTATTGAGAAAAGGCTTATTCTCCCTACAGGGAAAGAGAAAGTTGAAAAACTGTAAGTGTAGCGAAAGAATGGCTGGGGGCAGTTGTACGAACGCCGAGAGGCGTTATTAGAAAAAACTGTCTGTTGATTGGTATAACTACTAGATTTAACTTTGGTATTTATAAATTAAAGTTTCTTTTCATTAAAGGGCCATGTCAGTGTCATTTTAATAGCTTTTCTAGCATTTCTAAATCGGATAAAAATCACTATCCGGACGTACGCCTTTTTTCTCCACCTAAACCTGGTGTATAAACGTCTCACTCAGTATATTGGTTTGGTTGGAGTGGGAGCTAAATTAACTCTAGACGAGTCCAAGGACAAGCCATCCCGGACAGTTTTGTTCAATTTAGTTTGCATGGAATGACATTTTTCTTTAGACGATTGGACATTAAACCTTGACGTCTCTCATGATAGTAGTATAGGGAAGGGGGGTTCTACGACGGGCGGTGCGGGCGGTGCACTTAGCACCGCCCATGACGTCATTAATTCTTAAATATTTTAATTTATTCAGGTCATTTGAATTTATTTGAGCTTACTTGTATTTTTGAACTGCTGCCGTTTGTTTATCTACAGTTTATATTTCTGGCTACTTCGCTATCGTTTGTTTTATATCTACAGTTTTTATTTCTAGCTGCTACGATACCATTTGACCGTTTGTTGTATGGCTTTTGGTTTATTTCTGGGCGCTGCATTGCCATTTGTTTTATATTTCTGGCTACTTCGCTACCGTTTGTTTATCGACAGTTTATATTTCCAACTACTTCCTCGCCGTTTGTTTCATATTTCTAGCTACTGCGATGCCTTTGTAGCATCGCTTTTAGTTTATTTTTAGCTTTTTCGTTGCCGTTTGTTTTATATTTCTAGCGACTTCGCCGCCGTTTCTTTTATATCTACAGTTTATATTTCTAGATACTGCGATACCGTTTAATCGTTTGTAGTATAGCTTTTGGTTTATATCTGGCTGCTTCGTTGGCGTTTCTTCATCTAAAGTTTTTATTTTCCAGCTACCTACTTTGTTGCCGTTTGTTTATCTACAGTTTTTATTTGTAGCTACTACGGTACCGTTTGTTTATTTTCAATTTTTAGTTTATTTCAAGCTACTACATGCAATGTATTTGATTAGTGATTAAGATCTACTGTTTCCATTGCGAGATAAGCTGCATTATATAAACTACCCCATCCATCAAAATATTACAATATACACTTAATTTCTGCTCGCGAGGGAAATAGTTAGTTTTGTTTTCCCGAGAGACTCAATGTTTCCCGAGACGAAGTCGAGGGAAACATTGAGTTTCGAGGGAAAACAAAACTAACTATTTCCCGAGAGAACAGACATTAAGTGTTTTGTTATATAGCGACGAAATTAAAAAATATATACATATTTATACAACAATTGTATTTTGTGATAAAAACAATACAAAGTAAGCGATATTAAAATTTAAAAACATGCCAAAAGTATTTCCACAGTATTTCCTGTTGCCTGCTGTGTATTTTTTGTCTCTTTCGATTCTGTAGTCTTCAAATAAACTTGAGAAAACATTTATAAACTTGCAAGTTTAAAGCCGCCATTTTGTTTTCGTGAGGGCAATAATTGTTTACTTATTGCCCTGAAGGAAACATTGCATTTAATTAGGGTCATGTGACCACAAATCAACCAATCACGGATTGGCTTTCCCCCTAGCTATATAACAATAATAAATATTTGGC